CAGCAGCAGCAGCAGCAGCCAACAACACTACAAAACACCATGACAGCCAGTGTCGGTACTGATGCTGTGACGAGGGCGATTATGCTGTTGATGATAGCGATGATGGTGTGGATGACCAGCATCACCGTGACCCACATGCCTATTCGCTGTACGAGTACTGCCTAGTTCAACGCCTTTCTTGCTACTATCCGTGTCCAGCCTGCTTACTTAGTCGTTCATTGCAAATGCCCTCTGCTCAAGGCTCGGCCCTACCATGCCGGCTAGCCTTAGCATTCTACACGGGGGTGTAAGCGTTCGACTGTCAGCATATTGCACTAACAACAAAGGCAGACAATGTACGAAGATGAGTGTTGATGATGCCTTATGCTGCTGATGACTATGAGGACAATGAGGGTGAACAACATATTATAGTCTATAGTCACAAATGCAAGCCTGTTGGACAATGATGATCGTTGAAGTTGACGATGATGCAGAGGACGATGATATGGCTACGACCTGCAATGGATAGTATCATTGAATTAACGAGACCTATGTATGCCAACGACAGTGACAACAACGATGAGCACCCTGGTCACCAGGTTCTGCGCCTCGTCGCCGCATGTCACACGTCTTCCGTACAGAATTTCCGTACAGAGATGCTCAGGTTCGGACAAGTTGGCTCGCAACTCGACGAGCGTGTTGCCTGCATCCTGTCCAGACTGATGTGATATCGCTGCTGCTTAGGTCTTGAATTGAAAAATCCTCCGCTGACTTTCTGAGGACGAGGCCACTAAACGAACTGCAGCTGGCATCGACGGGCCTTTGGACAGCACCTGACTTGATGGACAAGGTTCTAAGAAGCATCAAAACTGTTCGCCACGGCGTGCTACAACAATCATTCCCCCACTCCCTTCTGGCTGCCAACCCAAGTAGGCCAAGTTCCCCCATTTTCTAAAATATATCTCTCTAGACTCGTCGGATCTGAGAGCTCCGCAGCACTGCTCGGCCTGGGAAGCTGCTTGGAGGTCGCAAGTTTTCGAAGTCACGCGCTGGCCGGGTCTCGTGCGACAAAGCTCCGCTTTCAACGCGTACGGATGGACGAAGCAAAGGGCACAGGTCATGGACCTTCGTTGCTGCACAGAAAGCATCAAAACTTCCGATGTGCTGAGATGCCAGCCGTTCAGCTTAATCAGGTTTGGCACAGGATGCACAGGACACTGAGACGCACGGCCAGCCAGCAGACAAAAACGGCTTCTCGTGGCGACCCTGCATTCCAGCTGAGCTGCCGCTGATCCTCCTCATCCTTCCTCCTTCCTCCTCCCCCTACTGCTTACTACTGCCAGTGCTGGTGCTACTCAGCTACTGCTCCTACTACTACAATTTCAATTGAACGCTGCGCGAGCGTGCTCTGCGCGTGGCGGGCGTATTGTCTGACCTGCACTCATGTGACACCTTATTGGTAAGCTGACTCAGTACTCAGACTAAAATTAAAAATACGAACATTTTGAGGGCATGACTTCAGATTACTCTCTGGACGAACCGGCACTCTCTCGGGCTGCTCTTCCTCCGTCACCCTCAGTGTGAGTCATTGCGTTCAATATTTACGACCTGATAGTCAAGCAGGTCGTACTCCGAAGAGCCGTCTCCATGAGTTCCCGTCTCCCCTCTTCCAGCTCCCCAAGCAAAACCTTTTTTGCCAGAGAACCAGCGAAGGGTTCGCTGACCAAAAATCAATGAAGTCTATCTGCGTGCGCGTGTTGAGCGCGACCAGTCGAAGTCTGCTTATGAGGTTCGTCAGGTTGGTCACGTCAGGGTTCTCCGGGCTGCATCGCCTTGGGCCCAACCAGTGTTGGGCTCAGCACCAGAGACGTGTTAAAGTCTCCAGCTAAGCTACCAATGTCTCCCGCAGCGGAATTTGCTTGACTGCCCTTGTCAGAACAGATAAGACCTTGGCTCTGTCGCTGCGGTTGTTTTGCTGAGTCCTTGCTTTGCTGACTACGCGTGTTGATACACAGCGATGATTGTAAACCGCGCACCCGCCCAGTGAGCCCTGACCTCCAAGATCCGGCCAGAAATCCACTCCTTCCAGCGAATCTGGGCATTGTTAAACTTCGGAGAGAATAGGACCATCAGGCCATCCGCCGCTGTTTGTGGTTTGCTTGTCCTGCGTTTTTCCTCTTCTGCTAGCCCGACCTTGCCCTGTGATTTTTGCCGGGGGACTCGCCGAAGAAATGCTGTACCATCCCGAAACCGTAAATTCAGAAGACTCCTTCCAGTGGGTTCCGAGCAGGACCAAGGCTTCGCAGCATTTGTCTGCCTCGACTGCTAGTTACGTTCTAATCTCGGCCCATTGCTGCTGTCCAAGTCCCTTGCCAGAAAAGGAAAATTCTGCGAGCGCACTGGAAGCAACGCCATCTGCTCTTTTCGCTGTTGAATAGCTATCTCCACTGGAAACCCTACCGCCTCCTCAATGTGACAATGTCTTAGACAAAGACTGGTCCAAGAAAGAGCCACATGCCTCAAAAGAGGGCCAACTCACCTTACGGTTGAGAAGAGAGGCCTGGAAAGGACCTCTAGAAAGTTGGAGCCCAAAACCCGTTCGAAAGCCACGCAAGCTACCCTGCCAGTCTGATCCGTGGCAGCTCCTACTAGTACAAGGGCAACAGCAACAACAACAACAACTACAACTACAACTACTACAACTACTACTACTACTACGACGACGACGACTACTACTACTACTACTATTCCTCCTGCTGCTGCTGCTGCTGCTACTACTACTACTACTACGACGACGACTACCACTTCCACTGCTACAACCACCACCACCACCACCACGACCACAAGCAGGAGCACGAGCACAACTACTGCAGCAGCGTCACCAATACCACTACTACTGCTACTACAAATATGAACTGTATTTTTTGCATCTGGTTTGCAGCAACTGCGAATATTACTTACTTACTTACTTACTTACTTACTTACTTACTTACTCACTTACTCACTTACTTACTTACT